AAAAAAAAAAAAAAAAAAAAAAAAAAATTATCCAACTATCCAAACCCAGAGGATATTGTAATATCCCCTATGTCAATTCTATCTTGCATTCTTCACTGTTTACCAGCTGCCTAGCAGAGGTGAATTGCAGAACCTGCGTTCATGAACAATTGTTGGTTAAACAAAACTCCAACAGTGTTCCACTTTCAATATATATATCCTAAAAAGTAAGAAAATTAGCAGCAAACACTTCCATTGGAGGTATGTGGAAACAAGATGTATTGAGGATGGTTGGGAGGGAGTCCTATTAGGAATGATCATGGATTTATAAGTAAGGAATACATCCTCATTGGTATAAGCCATTTTGGGAAAGCCCAAAGCAAAACCATGAGAGCTTATGCTCAAAGTGGTATCATACCATTGTAGAGAGTCGGGATTACTAACATGGTACCACAGCCATACCCTTAACTTAGTCATGTCAATATAATCCTCAAATGTCGAACAAAGAGGTTGTGAGCCTAGAAAGTGTAGTCAAAAGTGACTCAAGTATCGAACAAAGGGTGTACTTTGTTCGAGGACTCCAGAGAAGGAGTCGAGCCTTAATTAAGGGGAGGCTGTTCGAGGGTTCCTTAAGGGAGACTCTTTAGTGTACTTTGTCCAAGGGGAGGATGGTTGAGAGGGAGTCCTACATTGACTGATTTAGGAAATTATCATGGATCTATAAGTAAGGAATACATCCCCATTGATATGAGACCTTTTGGGGAAGCCTAAAGCAAAACCACGGGAGCTTATGCTCAAAGTGGACAATATCATACCATGGTAGAGAGTCGTGATTCCTAACAAGATGGCCTACAAAATGAGAAGGAACGTGCAGATGAGATAGTTAAGCTCACCTCCCATAAGCAACAGAAAATGTTACATCTTAGTAGATCTTGACCATAACAATCCCTTTCTCTTCGCTGTGTTGTTACTTTCTGGCAGAGCTTTAGTCCCTCCCCCCTTTGAGCCAAAGGAGAAGTGACGCCTCAAGAAACCCTTCCCTGAAGAACCTCTCAAACTGGAGCTAGAGGACAGCTTAGGACACTTCTCTTGTTGTCCACCATTTATAAAATGATCAAACATGTTAGATTCACCATCAAGACCGCTATCTGCAATGCGATTCCTTAACCTCTTGTTTCTAATTTTCAATTCCAATTCACCTCTAAGTGCCTTTTCAGACATCCTTAGTGTCTGCTTTTCACCAAATGAACATATTGGGCAGGCTGGATCATACTTGCTAATTTCAGGTGTCATATTCTCCAAACACTCGGCATGATAAACATGTCCACAAGTTAGTACGGCAACGACAGACAGCTCATTGTTAGCAATTATCTTTTGGCTGGTCCATAAGGATCTCTCAACCAACAACATTGAGCAAATTCCGCATGTTTGTGCATCAGTTGAAGGCGAAGTTGAGAATAAGCTGCAGGATCTAACCATCTTCTCACGAGCAAAGTCGAAGGATTCACTACCAAAGGACCATCTTCCCCTATGTGAAGTTGCCATGAGCTCAGAGAAAGCATTCATAGACCAACCATCAGAAGATCCACCATGTGAGCCCCGCAATGAATCATTGCTCCCAGGGATTTTACGCCTGTCCTCTGAAACTATGTAGCTACCCGGTGACTTGTACGCTGGGATACGGTTGCCAGATACTTGACGTAATAAACGGTCTCCGGGAGAACAGTGAGACAATCTTGATGATGTCAAACCGGCAGAAGGCAGATGGCTGTGGGTTGATAGAGGGGATGTTGAAAAAGATGAAATTGAAGGGATTGAAAGGGATACTTTTGCAGGAGATGTAGATGTCGTCGGATATTCTGTAGCTTTCTTCACCTGATTCAGTAATAGAAACAACTTCAAACTACACATACAATAATTTACCAGGTGAGAAAATAATGGAGGATATAAAACCATACGTGCAAACAGGGAAAGCTCTACCTGTTCCAAACTAACATCCGTGAAAATATTTCTTGAAATTGAACAACCTGTCACAATTCCAAGGAAAAAACATGAGATGGGATGCAGAAGACCACGGAAACATCAGGGCAAGTTCGATATTTAGCTGTTCCCTATTTCAATGCCTTCGAATAGAGCTATTATCATTGCAATAAAATCAATACAAGCAAAACCTACAAAGTCTCCCTTTTTCAACACGTTTAACAAGTTTCAAAACATGAAAAATATTGTTCATGACCGAGAGGCTTTGCAATAGCACAAAATTTACAAATCTGTGGGGCAGCAGCAAGCTATACCAAACCCACAAGCCGAGAAGATTGAATTATAGGTAATATAAAAGAATTAAACACATCTTGCTATCATTGCTCTAATTTCTTATCGGCACTCATTCAAGTCTTTCAATAGTATGAGAATACAAATCAATTCCTCCCACCCAACAAAACAGAATAAGAATCCCCCACGAATATTTAGTTTTTTATCAAACCCAACACACATCATGTGAAAGACAAATGACAGAGGTAAAAGTTAGAAGGATGTCTATCTGCAGAATACCTGATATAGGCGTCCTCACATTTGTCGTGCTTCCTTCAGATACTGAGGAGTTTTTCCATGTCTGTCTATCCAATGGACTACCCTCGTCTGATGCATATGAGGATTCATACTTGAACTCAGGCCGCTCGTTCCTACTTAGTCCATCTGAAATCGAATTCAGTGAAACTTCCTCACCAACAACACGCCCAGGATGATCCCATCTAAAGCTCCAACTCGGCGAGTGACGAACATTCCTAGGCTGCGTTTCGCTACTAGATCCAACACCAATAGTCTTGTCTCTAGCAGCAACGCAACAGACTGATCCCATATTTCAAAAGCCTGAAATGAGATTTTGTATTGTTTGTTACATATCACTTGCGCTATCCAATCTTTAACCCGTGAAGAGCCCAAACACCACTGTTCCAAACAAAGCCCCCTATTGTCTAAAACCATAACAAACAGAACAAACCATATCATCACATAACCCCCAAAACGTACAAGCACCTAGGAAGTCAACACTTCAACCATATTTTTCAAGCACCAAATTGAATAAGATAAACACGAAAGATCAATATGCTTCAAGAAAAACAAATAAAATAATCCCTAAATACATAGCACGCACACCGCTTGGTACAAACCCTTCAGAAATTAAACACGAAAACAAAATCACCCAACACAGAAAGAATCATCGATTCAAATTGTTCGGATTACAGAGCAGATAAAGCAGTAAAACACCAAAACAACAACAAGAGGAGACACTCAAATTAACACAACACCTCAAGAGGAATCAATCAGATTCCCGAAACAACGAAACCGATCACCAGCATGCGTTCAAATCAAACATCAACACCAAAAGAAGGAAAGCTAAACAAAAGTGATCGACGAATACCTTAAACGGCCCAATCCTGAGAGAGAGATACGAATCGCTGCAAGGATGGAGATGGAGGTGATTGCCGTTGAAGAGAAACTGAAACGAGAGCCGTTTTCTGGACGAATTTGAGTGGAAATTGAAGACTGTTTTTGGGGGTTAGGGCTAAGAAGCTGGGGAGACGAGGTCAGAGCTTGGGGATTTCAATGGCGGGTGAATACGACGAGATGTGAATATGATGATGAAAAGAAATGCGATTATTTCAACTTTCAACCTTTTTTTTGTACTCTGGCGATGCTGACAATTATTATTTTTTATAATAATTTTTTTGTTTAAAATTTATATCATTTTCGCACAAAATTATTATTATTATTATTTGAAAATCAAAATTATTAATTAAGGTTAAACATTTTTACTTTATATTATTATTAAGAGTCTTCACATAACTCGAGAATCCGACCAACCTAAACGACCCAACCCAAACCTCGGTTAGATTTTATTTTTGGTTTTGATTTATATTATTATTAAGAGTGTTCATATGACTCGAGAATCTGACCAACCTAAGACCCAACCCAAACCATAAACATTGAGTCGGGTTAGATTTTATTTTCGGCTTGGATTTATATTATTATTAAGAGTGTTCATATGACTCGAGAATCCGACCAACCTAAACGACCCAACCCAAATCTGGGTTAGATTTTATTTTCGGTTTGGATTTATATTATTATTAAGAGTGTTCATATGACTCGAGAATCCGACCAACCTAAACCACCCAACCCAAACGATAAAAATTGAATTCGGTTTTGATTGAGTTGAATTTTTTGAAAATAAAAAAGTTGGGTTGGTTCGAGAATGACAATTTTTTTTTTTATCATGTCATCTCGAAAATAGGGTTACAACGGAACCAACGCTACTCTGCTTTTAAGACTATTGCGAAGATTAATAATAATTGACATTTGCAATAAATGTTAATTATTAATGTAACATGTACGATACATATGTATGATTTTTTTTAAATAATTAAAAAAAAATAACTTGACAACCCAATGAGATTCGACATGATTGTATCGCACACGATTGAACATGCATGCACGAACGACGTATGTGGCCAAATAAGCTTGGATTATGCACAAATTGTGTTCGGTTGGCGGAGACAAATCTCATCGACGATCCGACGAAGCTATAAAGTCGAGCAAAAAAAGAATATGGAGCTTGAGTTCTCCTTAAAACTTGTTGTGAGCGTGCCAAGATCACGAAGTCATACGGCTGAAGATGTACAACCCTAACCCCGTTGCGTTAATTAATTTTTAAAAGGATGAATATACTAAAAATTTATTAAACCCATAATTAAAAATTTAAGTACTAAATATATAATTTAACCTTAGTATACTCTTTATTAGGAAAGGATCCTCATTTTCAACCAACTAAATAATTGACACAGAGACAATATATATATATATATATTTTTTTTAATTACTTGTTACCCATTTTTATATTTTTTAATTTTTAAAATTTTTATTTTAATTTAAATTAACGGTTTAAATTTTACTCGGATTCTCATAAGTTTGAATTCTCGATAAAAAAAATGAAAGAAATTTATTTTAAAAAATATTTTACAATTTATCTTCGAAGGATTTAAAATTTAGATGGGATGGTGGGTCGAGTTGATGAGAAAGGGAAGCAAAACGACACGGTTGGTGGTCGTTTTGAGTTTTAGTACCCAACACGAAATTATTGTCTTCTTTGAGAGAGAGAGTCAAAGTCAAAAAGGTTGGAGACATTAGTTAGGTTAGTTTTCCTTTTAACTTGTCAAATCCTAAACCATTTGAATTCTCGTTTTTTTATGGGAAATTAAATTTATTTAATAAATTATGAAAGCAGTGTCGTTTCGGAGTTTCGGAATGAATCGAGCTGGCTAAAACAATATGTTTGATTTGCACGTGTTTTAATAATAAAATTGTAGGTTTGTGATGGAGTGACCTGCAAAACCGAACCAGGTGCAAAGTGGGTGTGGTGATTGTTACCGGCTTGAGTTTGAAATAATGGAGAAGAGGAGTTTAGAATGAGAACGGGTAGCTCTCTAAACCGAGACTTACTTAGGTTTTGACTATTGGACGAGTTGGTCAACCAACAAATCTAGTTGACCCAATTTCTATCGAGTATGTTTTAACAACACAGAGACTTACTTAGGTCTTGACTATTGGACGAGTTGGTCAACTTACAAATCTAATTGACCCAATTTCTATCGAGCACGTTTTAACGACACAATTTGGACAGTTGTACATGTAGCTCTAGAGAGATATTTTAGATACAACTCATAGCAAATTAAAATCGTACTATTTTTCATAGACAATTTAATCTTTATAACGTCCCTAATTTTCTTGCCCTAAATTGATGACGTTACTGCATGCATGTCTTAAATCTTCATTGAAATTTGAGATTCTCATCATATAACCTCTCGGTTTCCTTCTCCGATAACACTCAATTTCCCTCTCGACTGTGTGTATACATTTCAAAAAGGAAGGAACGTCGGTGATGGTAGGCATGAAAGTACAGAAACTTTAAGAGGGTGGTGGGACGGTTACCTTCAGGATATTAACGTCTAGCATTTGAACAGCAGCACATGATTCGATTCCCACACTGATAATTCTCAAACTAAAAACAGTTTATATTACCTGAAACAAGAACGACTAAACAAATTGATTAAGATATTCATCAACAGTCGTGTATTTAACATCAGGATACAACAACGTAGCAGCAAATGATTCGGTTCCCACACATATAATTCTCAAACTAAAAACAGTTTATGTTACTTGAAACAAGAACGACTAAACAAATTGATTAAGATATTCATCGACAGTCGTGTATTTAACATTAGAATACAACGACGTAGCAGCAAATGATTCGATTCTCACACATATAATTCTCAAACTAAAAACAGTTTACATTACCTAAAACAAGAACGATTAAACAAATTGATTGAGATATTCATCGACAGTCGTGTATTTAACATCAGGATACAACGACGTAGCTTCCAATCCAACTGACGCTTCAATTTCACGGTTATTATGATCTCCCTTAACGAATATCGAGTACTCAAAAGCAAGCATCATATTCAATGGATATGCAGCCTCTACACAATGAAATTAAGTTTAAAAACTAAAATTAGGCCTTTAAATTGGAATTTTTTGTTCACTAACCTTGAACGTTCTTCAATAATTGGTGCTCTGAAACGAAGGTTTTGTGAAGAATTATTCCAATTTTGTTTTCCCAGAGGGCCACAAGTTGATTGATTGACAAGACGTTTTCAGAGGGTTTGATGTACAGAATTTTGTTCAAAGTTGTTGGATCATCCACTGCTTTAATGGTGAAAGAAGCAATGTCTTCTTCGTTGTTGAAAATTGCTGAAACCAAACAAAACCTCATTATTTTAGTGATGCAGACATTTACCAGAAAACCCACTTAACTCCAATCAACTCGACTTAATTGGTCAGTCGTCTCGCGTTTTTCTTAGAATTGACATCAATGGTTGAAGGATTCAAACTCCCGACCTTCTGGTCTAGGTGTAACAGTCTAAATCTATTGTTAACAGTTATTGTTTGCTATGTATCGTTATCAACCTCGTTGTTTTAAAACGAGTCTATTAGGAAGAGGTTTCTACACTCTTATAAGGAAAGTTTCGATGTGGGCAATCCACCCCCTTAGAGTCCAATGTTCGGTGTCTGTCTTTAATACCATTTGTAACAGCCGTAACTCATTGCTAACAGATATTGTTCGCTTTGACCCGTTACGTATTGTTGTCAGCCTCACAATTTTAAAACGTGTCTATTAAGAACAGATTTACATAGCTTATAAGTAATGTTTCGTTCCCCTCTCCAACCGATGTGAGATTACAAATGAATTTTAAATGATAATTAGTATCTTAATGGTAGAGTTTTGGAAAAATTCATTGAACTTAAGCTTACCAAAACTAATACGATCTAAAAAAAAAAACGTTCAAGATGATCCCCAAATTCTCAATTTTTGTGTTTTTATGTCTTTAATGGTTAAAAAAGATGTATAATAGATTTCTAAATTACGAGATCCCACGTTAGACAAAACATTCATTATAAGGAATGAAAACCTCTCCCTAACATACATGTTTTAAAATTGTGAGGCTGACAGTGATATATAATAGACCAAAACAAACAATATCTACTTGTAGTGGGCTTGGGCTATTGCAAATGGTATTAGAGCCAGACATTGGGCGGTGTGCCAGTGAGGACGTTGGGTTCTCAAGGGGGTGAATTGTGAGATCCTACATCGGTAACGAATCATTTCTTAGAAGGGTATGGAAACCTCTCCCAAACAGATGCGTTTTAAAATTGTGAGTTTGCGTGATATGTATCAGGCAAAACAGACAATATCTGCTAGCGATGAGCCTAATGACCAAGGTACACGCAAGCTAACCCAAACAATCATGGATATAAACAAAGAAAAGGTCTACGAACTTTACAAGTATTTAATAGGAGCTCAACGTTTTGTTGAATGGACCTATTTCATCTACCGACCTAAACAATAATAATCGATATTTTATCTACAAACCTATTCGTGGAATGGACCGACCTCATATTAATACATAAGAAAAAGCACAAGCTATATAATGAACAGGGATAAGAGTGAAGAAGTAATTACCCTTGGGATTTCCATCGCCATGAATAACAACCTTGTCTCTTGGTGGAGCAGTGACCCCAAGCTGACCCAAGCTGGGAACACAAAAGCCATTAAAACAGTAAGACAAATACATAAGTGTAAGGGATTCCTTCGGCCTCCACCGCTCGGCGAATTTGAACCTTTGACTCGAAAATAGATTTCACTGGCCCGACTCCATGCACGTTCTCTACATCATACCCAAACTCCGATGGGAAAAATCTCTGCACCGACAACAAAATATTTGTTTCTATAAACACATTTGGACCCATAGAATTTAGATGTCGTATCCATTTCTAAAGTTCGAACAATAACAAAATATAAATTCGAACATTTTTAAAATTAAAAAAAAAAAGTTGATAACTATAATTAAAAAAAAAAAAAAACTCTAAAATGAAATAAATTAGTGTTACAATATTTGGTAATTAAATATAAAATTACTATATTTTAGATATAATATTATTTCATTGATATTTGATATCAAATTAATTATGAGATAATTATTAAAGAATAAATTAACAAATTTGTTAGAAATTAAATTAATTTTCACCCACTTATAAAACATTAATAAATTCTTAACATATCAAAGAAATAATTAACAAACCTATTAAATATAAAATCAGTCATAAAATTAAACTTTTAAATATTTATTTAATAAAAAAAATTTAAAAATTAAGAATCTATTAAAAAAAATTTAGAGATTAACCTACTTAATTAAAAAAACTAAGTAAATGGTAATGAATGTTGGATGATGAAAGTCAAATAGCTGGGAATGATCATGAATTTATAAATAAAGAATTCTCTCTACATTGATACGAGGCCTCTTGGGAAGCCCAAAGCAGAGCCATGAGAGCTTATGCTCAAAGTGGACAATATCATACTATTATGGAAAGTCGTGTTTGTCTAACATGATATCAGAGTCATGCTCTAAACTTACTTGTGCTTGGTAAATCCTCAAATGTCATACAAAGAACTCCAGACAAAAAAAAAAAAAAAAGAGTCAAGTCTCCTAGAAGGCAGTAAAAAATGATTAAGACTCCAAATGAGTCGAGTCCATTAAGGGGAGGCGTATTTTGTTCGAGGAGAGATGTTGGATGATAAAAGTCCTCCTAATTTAGGGAATGATCATGAGTTTATAAATAAGAGATACTCTCTCCACTAGTATGAGGCATTTTGAGAAGTCCAAAGTAAAGCCACTAGACGGGAGGCTCAAAGTAGAGAATATCATGTCATTGTGAAAAGTGGTATTCGTCTAAGAATGAAGAACAGAAACAAATGTTTACGAGACCTTGACGTTGCCGGCCTCTTTAATGGCGGAAATGAGCTTATCTTGATCGCTCAACTGGTTAAGACCGACCGTCGAAATCACTACATCCACCTGTTTAATCGCCTTCACCAAGCTCTCGTGGTCGAACAGATCTCCCTGTAAGCAACTCGATCGGAATATTTTTCTATTTCTTTCAGAACTTCACGCAATAGAAAGAGAAATCGAAATCGAAATGGAAACGGAAACGCACCGAAAAAACTTCAAATAATTTGATGAACTTTAAGCAAACAGGAAAATGATAGTTCGAGGAATTACAGAGACGGCGATGACTCCGATGCTCTTGAATTTCTGGATAATCGGAGATTTGGCCGGATCGGAGAGAGCGGAATCTCGGACGAGCGCGAAGGTCTGATGACCGTACTTGACGCTGGCCTCGACGATGAATTTTCCGATGTATCCTGTGCTTCCGACGACGAGGACTCTGCTTTTGGTGGCCATTGGATGAAGATTTCTGGCGCGCCAAATTGATTTTGGGATAAAAAGGTCGAAGAGGTGAGGGAAGCGAGTAGTGCCAATTGAAAATCGGGCGAGTTACTTTCACCCAAATGACTAATATATCCTTCAATCTTGATCAACACGGGTCTTTTGCTTCGTCTTCATTCACATTTACATGTTTTTCGATGGTCCCGACATTCTTTTACGACACTTCTCGATTCTAAGAGGGAAGACCCAACACACCAACACGGGTCCTTTGCTTTGTCTTCGTTCGCATTTACATGTTTCTTGATGGACCCGACATTCCCTTACGATACTTCTCGGTTCTAAGAGTGAAGACCCCACACACCAACACAGGTCCTTTGCTTTGTCTTCGTTCACATTTACATTTTTTTTATGGACCCGACATTCCATTACGATACTTCTCGATTCTAAGAGTGAAAATCCCACATACCAACACGGGTCCTTTGTTTTGTCTTTATTCACATTTACATGTTTCTTGATAGGCCCGACATTCTCGTGCAATACTTCTCGGTAGACCAACATGGGTCATTTGCTTTGTCTTCATTCATATTTATATGCCCAACATTCCTCTACAATATTTCTCGGTTTTAAGAGTGAAGACCCTACAGACCAACACGGGTTCATTGTTTTGTCTTCATTCACATTTACATGCTTCTTGATGGGCTCGACATTCCCTTAGAAATACTTCTCAGTTCTAAGCGTGAAGACCCCACACACTAACACGGGTCTTGTGTAATTTTAGAGTTCCCATCATTAAACATCGAGAAACAAGATGAACCTTGTTGGTACATTTGAACGTGGTCTCCGTTCTTATCAAAATACAAGAAAATCAGAAAATACAACAACAATTAAGCTTTCGCCGTTATTTAATGAAGATAGGAGTAGATAAGACTCCCATAAGGTGCTTTAAACAAACTGATTGAGAAATTCATCCACGGTTGTATATTCAACGTCGGGATATAATTTTGTGGCTTCCACTCCAAATGATGGTTCGATATCAAAGTTGGTTTGATCTCCCTTTACAAAAACCGAGTAGAAAATTGATAGCCTTAAGTTTAGTGGAAATGAAGCTTCTGCAAATTAACAATAATAAAAGAAAAAAAAACCCGTTAGTTGTGTGAGATTTCACATCGGTTGAAGAGAAGAACGAAACATTTCTTATAAGAGTGTGAAAAAATGGTTTAAAATTGTGACGCTGACAGTAATACGTAACGGGACAAAGCGGACAATATGTGTTGGCGACAAACTTGAGCTATTACAAATGGTATCAGAGCTATATACTGAGTGGTGTGTCAGCAACGATGCTGAGCCTCCAAGTGGTAGATTGTTTTAACAAAACATTTTTTTACAAGGGTGCGAAAATCTCTCCCTAATAAACACGTTTTGGTAGCTCAGAAGTGAAATAATTGAAAATACTAACCTCGGATGTCGTTCAATAGTTGTTGCTCCGAAACATAGGACTTGTCGAGGATTTTCCCACATTTTTGTTCCCAAAGGGCCACAAGATCAACACAAGAGTAGGTGTTTTGAGGTGGTCGAACATAGAGGATTTTGTTCAAAGTTCTTGGATCATCCACCGCTTTAATAATATAGGTGGCAACGTCACGTTCCACGTTGAATATTGCTGATAATACAAAAAGAAATAAGCTAGTAGTTTATGAATTTAAGGTTATAGACACGATGCACCTTCATTTTCAGTAGCTCAATCATAACAACTCATGATTAAACATATTTTATCTTAGGATACATATGAGTAAGGACAAAACATGCTACAAGGACTTATGTTGTTATGTTGGATAATATCACTCTTAGAAGCAAGAACTAAGTAACGTGACCATGTCATAGGGGATGCACGGGAATAGTAAGACCGTCCGATGACAATTCCGATTATCATTCTTATAGTTCGGGAAAAGAATTAAGTTTATTACCCTTTCCATCCCCTAAGATAGTAACTTTATCTTCGGGTGGAGTAGCAACTTCAAGTAGATATGGCTGAGCCAGAGACGGAAGGAACCAACCCGAAAATAAGTTTGAGGATACGAAAGTGTAGGGAACTTGTGCAGCCTCCACAGCTCGACGAATTCCAGCTTTTGCATTGAAGGCTGTTCGTGCTGGCTCGACATCATGCACATGATCCACATCGCACCCATACTCCGAAGGGAAAAATCTCTGAACAATGACAATAACGGTTCTTTCATTTCACCATAGAACTATACATGGTAAATGACATATATATATATTTCCCTAGGCGGCGTTTGAATATGTATTTTAGGGGAACCATCGAGCCAACCCAAATCATACAAATTATATATGAACTCAACCCAATCCAACCTAAATAAGTTAATAATCCAACTCAAATTACACGGGTTGGATTAGATTTATTGGGTTTTTGAGATCAGTGAATTTCTGACCTTAACATTGCCAACTTCTTTGATAGCCGAGATGATTCGATTTTGATCGGCTAACAGATTGTGACCAACTGTCGATATTACCACATCCACTTGTTTTATGGCCATAACCAGACTCTCGTGATTGTAGAGATCGCCCTACAAATAAAAAAAAGTAAGAAGAAAAAGAAAAATTCACGATTTCAACTTCTAAGTTTTTTCTTGACAGTTAGTAGTTTGAAATTGACTCACCGATATAAAAATGACTTTCAAGCTCTTGAAATGGTCGATAATGTGGGACTTGGTTGGATCGGAGAGAGTCGAGTCGCTTACAAGAGCATAGGTGGGATGGCTAGCCTTGGCACTAGCTTCGACCACATGCTTACCCACATGCCCAGTGCTTCCTATGAACAAAATCTTGCTCTTGGAGGCCATCTCTTTGATCCAAATGTTAGGCCAAGAAGCTATGTTATGGGAATGGTGGCAATGAATATGATAGTTTTATAAGGGGAAAGTCATTGCTTTTTAAAAAACGTGGTCTATATGCTTGGGCCATCCACACTTTAGTGGTGTAAAGAGAATTATTGAAACCGAACGAAAAGACTCGATAAAACCCACGTGAACATTGTCTAGTAGACAAAAATAAGTTAACTCACGACTAGCAAATATTGTCCGTGTTGGTCAGTTACGCGTTACTGTCAGCCTCACGATTTTAAAACGCATCTACTATGGAGAGGTTTCTACACAATTATAAAGGAATGCTTTGTATCCCCCTCCGACCGATGTGGGATCTCACAATCTACCCCCTTTGGGGACCTAGCATCCTCGCTGGTACACTGCCCAGTGTCTAGCTCTAATATCATTTGTAGTAGTTCAAGCTCACAGCTAACAAATATTGTCCGTTTTAAAATGTGTTTGTTAGAGAGAAGTTTCTACAGCCTTATAACGAATGCTTCGTTCCCTTTTCGAACCGATGTGAGATCTCACATATTATCTTAAGAAAATAAAAACCCTCGTAAAGATATATTTTTAAAAAATCAGAAACCAAACGACTATCAAACAAAAAAAATAAAACGATAGTACATTAATAGAAATGGTTTTAAATGAAGCGATACGGTAAAAAAGTAGCTTCATTTCTAAAGATGTACGTTTACTCTCCCGATTGTCGGTATGGAAATAAACAAGTTGAGTTTTACTCTTAGTAGATAAAACACCCGTCATTCTAATAGCTGATGGTTCGATTCCCACTTCAATAATTTTCGAACTAAACTCATTATCTTCGACATTTACCTAAAACCCACATGGACGGTGTGCTAATAGACAAAAACAAAGCTGTTCAAGAGTCCACCATTGAAGTGGACATTAATATTCCCACGTTTTTTTTTAATGTCCCTTCGAGTTAATGCGACCTTCTAATTTAAGTCAATATGTCTTAACTAATTAAACTATGTCAACAACATAGCAATGGATAAGACTCCCATAAGGTGCTTTAAACAAACTGATTGAGAAATTCATCCACGGTTGTATATTCAACGTCTGGATATAATTTTGTGGCTTCCACTCCAAATGATGATTCGATATCAAAGTTGGTTTGATCTCCCTTCACAAAAACCGAGTAGAAAATTGATAGCCTTAGGTTTAGTGGAACGGGAGCTTCTGCAAATTAACATAAAAAAATCTCGAGATTTCACATCGATTGAAGATGAGAATGAAATATTTCTTAAAAGGGTGTGAAAAAATGGTTTAAAATTGTGAAGCAGACGGTGATACGTAACGGGACAAAGCAGATAATGTGTGTCAGAGCTAGACACCGAGTGGTGTGATAGCGAGGATGTTGAGCCTCCCAAGGGTAGATTGTTTTAATGTAACATTTTTTTATAAGGGTGTAGAAATCTCTCCGTAATAAACACGTTTTGATAGCTCGAAAGTTTAATAATTAAAAAATACTAACCTTGGATGTCATTCAATAGTTGTTGCTCCGAAACATAGGACTTGTCGAGGATTTTCCCATATTTTTGTTCCCAAAGGGCCACAAGATCAACATAAGAGTAGGTGTTTTGAAGTGGTCGAACATAGAGGATTTTGTTCAAAGTTCTTGGATCATCCACAGCTTTAATAATATAGGTGGCAATGTCACGCTCCACGTTAAATATTGCTGATAATACAAAAAGAAATAAGTTACGCTAAATAATTTGAACATTCTACGAGACAAACTTGAATGTCAGAGATGTCGAGTTTGTTAAAGGATTGATATAATTATATTTACGATAACCTATTAGTTTATTGTGAGATCCCACCTCAGTTGGAGAGGAAAACAAAACATTCGTTGTATAGGTGTGAAAACCTATCCCTAACAGGCACATTTTAAAAACATTGAGGGAAGCTTGAAAGGGAAAGCCCAAAGAGGACAATATTTGCTAGCGGTGAACTTGAGTTATTACAAATAGTATCAGAGCCAGTCACCTGGTGGAGTGCCAAGCAAGGACACTGGGCCCTGAAGGGGGTGGATTGTGAGATCCCACATTGGTTGGGGAGGAGAATGAAACATTTTTTATAAGGGTATGGAAACCTCGTTGATCTCTGAAGGGGGGTGGATTGTGAGATCTCATATCGGTTGGGGAGGGGAGATCCTACATCGGCTGGGGAGGAGAACGAAACATTTATTATAAGGGTGTGGAAACCTTGTTGAGCCCTGAAGGGGTGGATTGTGAGATCCCACATCGGTTGGGGAGGAGAAAGAAACATTCTTTATAAAGGTATGGAAACCTCGTTGAGTCTCGAAGGAGGGGTGGATTGTGAGTTCTCACATTGGTTGGGGAGGAGAACAAAGCATTCTCAGCATTCTTTATAAGAGTGTGGAAACCTCGTTGAGCCTCGAAGAGGGGGTGGACTGTGAGATCTCACATCGGTTGGAGAGGAAAACGAAACATTGTTTATAAGAGTGTGGAAACCTTGTTGAGCCCTGAAGGGGGTGGACTGTGAGATCCCACAACGAAACATTCTTTATAAGGGTGTGGAAACCTTGTTGAGCCCTGAAGGGGGTAGATTGTGAGATCCCACATCAGCTAGAGAGGCGAGAACGCCACATTTGAATTCCAAATCCTAAACATGAGACGTTACAAGACGAGAGTTCAAGTATTACTATACTTAAACTTTTTTCGATGTACTCGAGTCGGCAAAATTTAAAAGAATGAAAAGAATTTAGTTTATTACCTTTGAAATTTCCATCCCCTAAGATAACAACTTTATCTTTGGGTGGAGCAGCAGCTTCAAGTAGATATGGCTGAGCCAGAGATGGAAGGAACCAACCCGAACAAAAGTTCGAGGATACGTAAGTGTAGGGAATTTGTGCAGCCTCCACAGCTCGACGAATTCCAGCCTTTGCATTGAAGGCTGTTCTTGCTGGCTCGATGCCATGCACACGATCCACATCGTTCCCATACTCCGAAGGAAAAAATCTCTGGACAATGAGCCGTATTTATTTATAGCTTACTCAATGGTTATACATAATAAAATTATATATGATAAATGATATATATACAGTAGATAACAGTATCTGGTAAAGGTATACGTCATGCAGTGTTTTCCATCTCTGGTTCTTTGTTTCTAGATGAGTGTATGTGTTGTTGTGCAATCCTAACAAAATTAACCCTGGTTAGATATCCGTTAATTCACATGTTTCCGGATTGGATTGAATTTAGACCTAACCAAATTGTTCGAGTTGTGAATTTTTTCAACCCAAATAACCTCAATCCAATATTCGAGTTCGATTAGCTCAATTCGATTCAACCCTAACTAATTTTAGGAGAACCATTGGACCCGCCCAAACCCATACCGACTTCATTTATTTGAATTCAACCCAACCTAAATAAGTTAATAACTCAACCCAAATTATATGGGTCGGGTTAGGTTTATTGGGTTATCCAGATCACTGGATTTTTTTTAACACCGTTAATATAATACACCAACAAACTTCAAAAAAAAAAAAAGAAAAAAACACTTACAAATCATTGTCGTTGATGTCTTTTTTTATTACTCATAATTTTAAGGTTCGAGTTTGATAAAGAATTTAGCACATATGCAACTTGTAGATCTTATGTACTTGTCAATAATAATGATACGTAAAAGATTAATGACCATTAGGTATTTTAACTTCTGACCTTAACATTACCAGCTTCTTTGATAGCCGAGATGATTCGATCTTGATCAGGTAATAGACTGTGACCGATTGTCGATATTACCACATCCACCTGTTTAATAGCTTTAACCAGACTCTCGTGAACGAAGAGATCGCCCTACAAATTAGAAGTAGGAAGAAAGAAAAGGTGTCTCGAGTGAGAATCTTGAGTAAAGAAAAGGTTCATCTCCAACGACTTACCGACACGAAAATGACTCCCAAGGTGTTGAAATGGTTGATGAGCTCAGACTTGGCTGGGTCTGAAAGAGTGGAACCTCGAACAAGAACATGGGTTGGGTGTCCAGCCATGGCACTTGCTTCCACAATGAACTTGCCTATATAACCGGTGCCTCCAATGATCAGGATCTTGCTTTTGGCTGCCATTTTTCTTAAAGAGGGAACTAGCAAAGAACCCAAACTTGCTTGAATTTGAATGGATAATACAGATCTATATCATGGTTTCCACTCTTCTTTTATAGAATATTCTGCGTCGTATTGGATGTGTAATGTCGAAAATACCCTCGTAAAGAAATTCAATTTTCAAATCATGTCTCACATCGTTTGGAGAGGGGAACGAATCATTTCTTGTAAGGGGTGGAAACCTCTCTGTCGTAGACGTGTTTTAAACTGTGAGACTGACGACGATATGTAGCAGACCAAAGTGGATAATATCTGCTAGCGGTGAGCTTGGGCTATTACAAATGGTATCCGAGCTAGACACAGAACTGTGTAGATGTTGGGTCCTCAAGGGGTGGATTGTGAGATCTCACATTGGTTGGAGAGGGGAACGAATCATTCATTATAAGGGTGTGGAAACCTCTCCGTAGTAGACACGTTTTAAACAGTGAAATTGACGACGATACGTGATGGGCCAAAGCAGAGCGGTGGGCTTAGGCTGTTACAAATGGTATAAGAACTAGACACCGGACAGTGTGGATGCTGGGACCTCAAGGGGGTGGATTGTGAGATCTCACATTGGTTGAAGAGGAGAACAAAATATTCATTATAAGGGTGTGAAAACCTCTCCATAGTAGATGCGTTTTAAAACTGTGAGGTTGACGACGATACGTAACGAGCCAAAGCGGACAATATCTGCTAGCGGTGGTCTTGGGCTATTACAAATGGTATCAAAGCTAAACATTGGATAGTGTGAACATTGGGTTCTTAAGGGGGTGGATTGTGAGATTTCACATCAGTTGGGGAGGGTAACGAAACATTCCTTGTAAGGGTGTAGAAACCTCTTCCTAATAGAAGCGTTTTAAACCGTGAGGTTGACGACGATGCACAACGGGCCAAAGTGGACAATATCTGCAAACCGTGAAATCTTTTGTAATGTATCACATGTTATCTTAAGAAAAAAATCATAGAGATAGGATAGGATAGGAAAACAAATATATTCTTCAAAAACTAGAAACCAAACGACTATCAAACAAAGATATAAAACGAGGGATCATTAATAGAGCGATTTTCAGATAAACAATATGGTAAAAAAAAGTCGTATCACTTACAAAGACGTATGACGTTTACTCCCTATCGTTGGCAAGAAAATAAAAAAGTTGAGTTTTACTCTTAATAGATAAAAATCCCGTCCTCTCACGTCCTCTCAAGAGCTGATGATTCGATTCGCACTCCAATAATTTTCAAACTATACTCACTCCATGCCGACATTTACCACAAAACCCACATGGACATTGTGCTAATAGACAAAGACAAAGCTGTCCATGAAAATCATGCCAACCAAGTCAGCTTCCACCGACATTAATATTCCCACGTTTAAATTTAAGGTAATATGTTTTAACTCGTTAAACTATGTCAATCTAAGTATAACTCAATCAACCATTATATTAAATTTTTACTATAGAATGATGTTAGTCTTAACTAGTGAAGTTTAATTTTTCCGTTTACTAAATTTGTCTGGAGCGCACGGCTTCCTCTTTGAGTTACCGTCCGAGTGGAATGGTCAACTAAGAGTGAACAATCAAAATTGATTAAAGAAGGAAATAATTTGAGATTCAGAGTAAATCAAACGAACGTGAACGAGTTGGTTCACTTGCTAATCAGCTTGATCCAATCTTGTACGCTCGTAGAGGGACATTTTTATAGATATACCCTTAGATCTATGTTTCTGAATAGTCTCGAACAAGGCCACCAGCACCCAACTTGCTAGAATATCAACGTTTATTTATTATATCATAAATGATCGTGTAAATAAATAAATAAATAAATAAATAAATATAAATAATTAATAATGGGCCCAATGACAGTGAAAGGGCCCATTTGAAATTTCAAAAGTCCAATCGGATAACGCGGGTCGGGCCGGGCCAAGCCCAGTATAGTCGCCATGCCAGGCAGGTCCTACAAGACCAACTTGATGCAAGGGACTGGTCCATAGATTCCTTTTTTTTTTTTTTTTATAATTATTTAAATTAAATAATTTAAGAAAATTTTAATTTAGAATTAAATTATATCTTTTTTTTTACTTAAATAATTTTCTATTATATAATAATTAACATTATTATAAATTATTATAAAGTATGAGCAAAGAATAAAATAGTAATGGGCCCAATGATAAATAAAGTCGGGCCGGGCTAGCTCGGCCGGGCCCAGCACAGTCGCTGTTGACCCAAATACAAGACCAACTTGAACCAAGTGGCTTACCTTAATGGTCCCTTGCTTAGTCAACAGAATTTTCTTTTTCTTTTAATTATTTAAATTAAATAGTTTAAGAAAAAACTAATTTAAAATTAAAGTATTTCTATATTATTTTGCTATTATATATATATTTAAATAAAGTTTGAGAACCGACTTATTTTGAACTAAATGAACATTTCGATTAGCAAACCGTTCAATCATTTTCACGAAAAGAAAATATGTTTCGTATGTCTTTATCTAAAACGCGTAGTCAATTATATAAATGATTAATTTGTTAATGAAACATGTAAATCATTTTTTTTTTCTTTTTTGTTATCAGTCAATTTGTTGTGCTGTTCGTGCTCGAAAATGCCATCTTTCTATTTCTACGAGGATTTTCCGTTCATAAAAAAGAAGATCCCGACACGTTTTTTTTAGAGAAACAACACAAAAAACGAGCCAAAATCAAAGAACCGACAAAAAGTTGAATTAATATATATTAGACATAAACTAAAAAAAGTAGGGGTATAATTTTTTTGACAAGATATTTTATTTTTAGAAATTGGATCTACAAAAAATATTATTTATTTATTCTCGAACTTAAAAAATAATATCCTAACACAGGGATATTATTATTAACATCATAATCAAAACGTTCGTAATCTCAACGAATAAGACATTTATTTATTTATTTATTTTTAAATTATGTTGTCTTAATCAACTAATTAATATCATATCTCAACTCATACGAAAGATTCAAATCTCTCGTTTTAAATGTTGAGTTCAGCACTCACCCGAGCTGAATGTCAACCGACATAGTTTTCTTTTGTTGAGATCGAACGTTCAAAACTTCCTACATCATTGTCGTACTAAAAAAAATTAACGATTATAAATTTATTTTTATGCAAAAAAAAATTAAGCGATTAATTTTTTATAAATGAGTTGATTGGTGAGTTAAATCAATTAAATTGATGTAACGAAGAATATCATGTAACTCTTATTGAAATTGAGGCGGACGTATACGTACAAAATATATATATATATATATATATATTTATATATGGGCTAATTATTACTTTAGAAAAGAAAAAAAATATATATATATATATATATGGAAGTGAAAGCAAAATGATCATAGGATAATAATAATAATTATTATTATTATTTTATTGAATTTGTGAGATGGATGGATCTAGGGTCTACCTAGCTACTTCACATTTCCATCTTTATGTTACCTCCTTCAATGGTACCTACAAAAACAAAATTAACAAACATTAAGCTCGGGTCATTCATTAAACGTTCTTTAGATAGCTAAAAACGTCTCTGCAGACATTAATGTTTACATAGATTTGATTTCGAAACATCTATCATACCTAACAAGCTCATTTACGATCTGCTTTCATCGTCACTGTTTGACTTAGTTTTGTAAAAATTAAAGCTGTTGTGTTAGATTCGAAATCACCAGTCCCGATGCTGTAAACTTTATCATTCTCGTTTGTTCATAGGTATGATACTATAACAGTCCAGACCCACCGCTTTGAACTTTACTCTCGAGCTTTCCCTCGAATATTTTAAAACAAGTCTGGTAGGTAGAAGTTTCCACACCCCTAGAGAGAATGCTTTGTTTTCCTCTCCAACCGATATGGAATTTTACTGATATTGGCTTGAACGTGTCTTTTCAGTTGAAAAAGAACTCTCGAGAATTTCACGAGGAAGCGGTGAAGCTATTGTTCAAAAGAACACGAACATCGTCCGTTTAGGTTATGCACTATTGGAAGTGGATTTTTTAAAGAGAGATTTATGATGAAGGGGACCATGAGAATGTCTCAATCATCAATTTTAAAACATCCATTTGAAATTTCTTTGTCAAATCATAATAAAGAAGGAGAAGAAGAAGAAGACGGATAATTGACTACACAGTTCAATCCTATCTTTACCTGTATATGGATGAGATAAAAAGGCGTTTGATGATCGGCCTTGATCGAAACCCACATTGTACAGATTCTGCAAATCCATGTCCCATCCCGAAGAGGTTTGAAATTGCTGCATCGATTGATCGATATTATCAAGAACTTGAAACGATTTGAACTGAATCGAAAATGGCGGAGAATCGAAGGAAAAAGGATTTGAGAACTTACGGTGAGGCATGATGAATCCACGAAATTTTCTGGGAATGATCTTCGAAGTGCGATATCAGAGGTATTGATTCCGATTTCTAATCCAGAACACGAAACTACTTGTTGATTGTTTGGATTGAATTGTAAATAGGAAGAAGGATCTGTCATCTCCGATGACATTTCGCCGATCGCCTGGGGAAAAACCTGTTTGTTTGTTTGTTTGTTTCCCGGGAATATATTAGATTCTTCTTCTTCTTGTTAATTTTGATCTGATTAGATGAGTTATGGAGTTTGGAAATTGTTTTGTTTTCTTACCTCTTTGGTGAAGAGATCATCTACATTGAACTCCAACCTTGGATTGACAGTCGATAATTTCATGGACAAGAACTGTTTGTGAAAATGCCAGAGAGAAAGTTTTAGATTTCAGAGCAGGATTTTTAGTGTTTTCAAGGCTAGAGATTGAGTGAATTTAATTCTACCTCAACTTGTCTTTGAAGAGATTGAACATAGTTTATAATCTCGTCGAGCATTCCAGCTTTTCCAGTGATTTTGTTGCATCCTGGTACTAAATCTTGCAAGTACTTCATTCTTTCACTGATTTTTTCCCTTCTAGCCTACATGAAACCATGAAGAACTTGAGTGTTTAAAGAGAAATTCCCCATAAATGTATAGAAAACTAACAAATCAGGAAAAGAAAAAGCAACCCAGATGATGAAATTGGGTGTTCTTCTGGCTTACTCTTTCTGCTAAGCTGTGGCTATCAGTGGCTTGGCCACGGCCTGCTCTGACATGAATGTAACCAGGCTTTTGAACCTCTGATGCTTTGGAGTTTTCTTTTGAGGTATCAGCTGATGTTTCTCTGTTGTTGTTTGTTGTGGTGCTTGAGTTGTTGTTTTTGGATAACTCTTCTTCTTCTGAACTTGTTTTGATCCGTTTCTCTTTGCTGTTCTTGTCCCCCTGCAAATCCTCCATTGATTTAGTTTCAAATTCTTGAAGCTTTTGGCCATTTTTCCCATATGGGTTTGAAGATTTAGAGATGTTTCAATGGAGGAATGTTTTGAAAAAGAGAGAGATCATGTTATACGAACTTGCCTTGTTCTTGTTGTTGGTGGGGGCGGCGGCAGCGGTGGTTGTGGTGGTGGTGGTGTGAACTTTCTCAGCTTTTCTTTTCTTGAAGCTCTCTCTTCTGGCGGCCGACACAGCCGGAGTCACTGCCGGCGGGCAGCTGGAGGTTCTCGAGAGAGAAGAATTGAGTTCATAAGCCGTGGCATTCAACAACAGAGAGGGATCAAACTTGCCTCCTAACCCCCCAGGGTCAGGCTTCACTGCCCCCATTACAATCTCAACAAGTGACATCCCACCACCGCTGCCACCGCCACTCATGAACCCCGGAAACCCCGTGAGGTGATCCGCCGGAACAACCCCCGGCGGCGGAAATCCGCCGCCGTAATCAACCCTATTGAAACAGCTCTGCTGCAAAAGCTGATCTTGCTGGAATTTCAAACGACCCCTCTGCCTCTCAAGAACACTGAGATTATCAGGACAGTCCCCGGCAGTGTTCAAACACTGCAACATCTCCGGCAATGCTCTGTTCATCTTTCTTCAAGGAAAATGATGAAAAAAAATCAAAACCCCACCTCAGACAAACTAAGAAATCCTTAAATTCAAAGGAAATCCCACCCCCAAGAACCAAAAAAAGGCCTCTTTTCTGCTGCTAAGTACGCTATAACCCCAAAACATGAAGAAAAAGAAGAAGAACAAGAACAAGAAAGGGATTGTACCCAAAGAATGATTATAGAGAAGGGAAGAAAGAGAAAAAAGGGGGTGGGGTATATTTAAAGGTGAAAAAGTTAGGGGGTGGTGGTGGCCGGAGAGTGACAAGAACTGGCCGGAATTATTGGTTTAGAGAGAGATAGAGACAGGGGAATGGGGCAGAGAGGTGCGGAATGAAGCCATAACCATAGGCCGTGGGGGGTGGGGCAGACTGACATGACTGCCACGTGAGCATGTCCGGAGTACCAAAGCAGAGATAATGAAACGGACCCTTACAGACCTGCGGCTCCAAACTCCAACGGGGTTCCTCTGTGTTAATGAAACGCCAAAAAATACGAGGAAGAAACAGATTTTTGTAATCCCTACCACTCCCTATTGTACATCCACATTTCTCTTTTAATTTCCTTTCACATCCTTGTACTTTTTTTTTTTACTTTATATAGAGGACGAGATTTGATTCCTCAATTGATGAGGTTACTACTGTCTTTTAGCTTTTACAAGTATACGTGTGAGTTTACTCCGAGCATGATTCATCTTATTATAGTTTTATAAATTTGGTTCTTATACTTTTGATAAGGTTGTAATTTTTGTACTGGAAAGAGAGTGGAGGCCCTTGCGAAAGCCCTGTCCACCCTTCTCTATTTTGAGGGATTCTTATATTTAGACTCGTAACAGTTGGCTAGGAATAAGAATAGGGTCAGTAGTCTCTTTCGTTGCAGGTCCTCTTGCTGAGATGACTCTTTTGTTTTTTTACTACGACATGAATCATGAAAAAGCTGGAATAACTCTGAAAGAGAGTGGCCCCTAGGCGTTGAAAGCGTCTCGTCTTTGTAGAGCAAGAGTAGGATTGGCTACTTCGGTCCGGCAGGAGGAAAAATGGTATTTATAGTTTAGTGAAACTTCACCAATGATATCAAACGTTATGGTATTGAGCTTTTATCTTTTTTGTGATCGTCTTTCATTGGGTAGTTGTGTGTTAATCGGTCGTGTTAGATCTGAGTTGAATTTGTATGTTTGTTGGGTTCTTCCCACCTTTTACTGTCTCACTCTATCGTTATAACGTATTTTCACATTTTTACTTCTTCTTTTGGACATGTCACACCTTAGGGTTGGGGCATGTGGTAGGGTCGGTGCATTTTTAGAATGACTTGTGAAACTTAACCAAATCATAGAGACAAAGTTGAAACAGTTAAAATTATATGACCAAATTAAAAATTTTAAAATTATAGAGACGGTTTAAGTTGAACTCAAACTATGGAGACCATAGGAAAAAATTTATAATAGATGATTGCACAAGACAATAAAAACAAGAATGTTATTTAGAAATTTTTCCTCCTTAGTTCGCTAATCAATCCACTCGACTTCAAGATGATATAACTCGTGTTAACTTCTCTTTGGTCCATCAAATTCAAATCTTTATCGATTACGATACCTCTTCGATTGCACTTAATCGACAATGTTGTTGTAACCCGCTCTTGTACATTCTTCTTACATACAGTTTTGATATGATTGATTCACTCTATTTTCGATTTTCTTAGTCTTTCCTAAAGTCTAGATCAGACAGTGTGAAGACAACAATAAAAATTTCATACAATAACATTGAAGACGAGAAATATATACAATAACATTGAAGACGAGAAATATATCATCGACCCATCTCGGCCCCGTGCCAACCTTACATGTTACAACCAGCAATGTCAAATTGTTCTCATGAATATGATTGACATTATTATAGAAGTTATATTTAGGAAAAAAAAAAACATAAATTTACAAATTTCCCGTCCAAGGATGTAAGGACAATTAAGAAAACCCCTAACTTCTAAATCCCTTTTCCAATCTCAATCTTGGCGCGTGTAGATCACTTTGTCTTCCTATTGGAGGAGTAAGCACACGAAAGTCCGAGCGCGTGAGATGATTACGGAGTTTTGGGTGGATGTTTATGCCGTGTTACGGTCTGATGTGGAGCGTTCTAAAATTAGAAAAAAAAAATGGAGTTTTCAAACTAACCACTTTTTTGTCTCTATCTTGTTCTTTAATGGTGATGTACTTTTTGGTCTTTTTGTTTCTTAATTAAAGCATTGATTAATTATTAATTAACTTCAGATAAATTAATTAAGAAAGATAAATAATAACTTTCTTGAGCAATTATTTAATAAATATGCTTGCCAAGATTATTCCAGAACTACCCAACTCAAATTATAAGTTTGAGCTGGATTAATTTTATTTTTAGGTTGGTTGACTTGAATTTTTAGAAAATCGAAAGATTCGAGTTGATTAATAGGTTGACATTTTTTTGGTTGAGTCAACCCGACCAACTCGAAAATAGAGTTACAACTAATAATGTTTGTTATCCATGTCAACCATGTGTTGTGACTTGTGACCAAAGGAGAGTAATGAATGAACCAAGACCATATTCTAACGAGAGCGATCCAGAAAATATGATGGTTAAGAAATGTTTAAAAGAATTGATAGACATTACCTTCACTAACAATATGAAATTTTTCGGTAATTCTACGTTGGATGACTTTCTACAAAATGTGTTAGAAAGACGTCGTGTTGGATTGTGGAGATAGCCATCAATCTTAGAAGCAGTTTAAGTCAAGTAGGTATTGTAGTCATGTCACATAGAGAACATAGGAATGTTGAGGCCATTAGATACTAAATCTAAATTTCAAATCTTGTACATGAGACGTTATAGAGACCTTTATATATATGTATATATATATATGAGACCAATTCTCTCTCTATAATGATTCCTTCAATCACCATCTATGTGGTCATCATCGATGGAAAACGACCTTCTTGGCCCCCACGCTCCTAACCTTTCATTTCGTTCATCTCTGCTTTCAAAATTTTTAGACTCGTTTGATAATCATTTGATTTTTTGTTTACTGCAGTTTTGAAAATTACAGTTCGTTAGACCCATTTAGATATTGTAAATTCACTAAAAAGCCCGAAAGAAGTTATCGAAATTGTCCTTCAAATTCATGAATCTAAAACCAAAATGAAATCGGTAAACAAATTCGTGACCCATGGGATTGTGGGTAACGAAAATGACAAGCGAAACACGAAAGAAAATGTCGATATTGGGATTATACAATGCAAATTACTAGGTTAATGAAGTTAATGACGATGGGACTAGCAGCACGGAGGCATCTAAGTAGCTTTGGCTAAAAAGCTAAGCGACGATCTACGGTAAGGGTTGGTTATATTGAAAATCGAGATAATAGACAACTAGACAGACAAAAACGTTATCGAACGAGGTCTCCATATTGTATTTTAGGGTTTCGATTTGACAAAACGAGTACGAGAGTATTGGGGACATTTGCTTGTATATTTAATAGTGGGGAAAAAGAACACATTTGGGACAACTTTACAACTTGCCCAAATCAATTAATAGTCTCAAGTTGCATTAAAAGAGACATTCAGCTGATCAAAATGAATAGTTCACACTCATTTATGTTTGAACCAAAAACATTCTCACAAGACTTTACAACCATTATTGATGTTCTTTTACAATAATTTTATTTTGGCTTGGTATTCTCATCAAAATATTGGGCCACTTTGCATTAATATGATTCATTTTAGTGAAAGATATCAATAACAATTATTTTTTTAAGAAAAAAATTAGAGGTGTTCAGAAAATTCGATCAACTCAACCCAATCAAATCTAACCTGTATGATTTTGGTTGAGTTTTGTGATATCCCATGTTGGTGGGGGAGGAGAACGAAATACCCTTTATAAGGGTGTGGAAACATTTCCGTAGTAGACGTGTTTTAAAACCTTGAGAGGAAGCTCGAAAGGGAAAGCCCAAAAAAGAAAATATTTGCTAGCGGTGGACTTGGTCATTACAAATGGTATCAAAGTGGACGCCGGACTATGTGCCAGTGAGGAGGTTATTCCATGAAGGGGGTAGACACGAGGCGGTATGCCAGTAAGGACGCTTGGCCCCAAAGGGGGGTGGATTTGGTGGGGGTCCCACATCGATTGGAGAAAGGAACGGGTGTTAGTGAGGATGCTGGGCCCTAAAGGGGGATGGATTGTGATATCCCATTGGGGAGGAGAACGAAACACCCTTTATAAGGGTGTGAAAACCTTTCTGTAGCAGACGCGTTTTAAAACCTTGAGGGGAAGCTCGAAAGGGAAAGTCCAAAGAGGACAATATCTGCTAGCGGTGGGCTTGACCGTTACAAATGGTATCAGAGCGGATGCCGGACTATGTGCCAGCGAGGAGGCTATTCCTTGAAGAGGGTAAACACGAGGCGGTGTGCCAATAAGGACGCTGGGCTCCGAAGGAGGGTGGATTTGGTGGGGTCCCACATCGATTGGAGAAAGGGATGAGTGCCAGCGAGGACGATGAACCCTGAAGGGGGACAGATTGTGATATTTCACATTGATTGAGGAGGAGAACGAAACACCCTTTAAAAAAATGTTTCAGCCCAAACTAATTCAACGACGAATTTATTAAGCCTTAAAAGAAAAAAATAAACAAGTGGATGAAATGGAGAGAGATGGGTAACGAGTGAAAGGGAAAGTTGGGGGCAAGAAATCAAAGAAGCAATATTTTGAATAAGACCCAACCAACACAATATTTTGTTGCTCTTATGCCCTATGGCCTATGTGGTCCATTATGGCAATTTTCATTGGATATCAATTAAGTAGCTTCCAAGCTCTTTTTGTGCCTTAGATTATTATTCACATATAAACAACTTGAACCAAAAAAAATACATACATACATCAATTTAATAATCATAGAAATGATCGTTACGACGACGTTCTAATTATAAATTCAGTAATCATAAAAGTGATTGGTCACATTTCAGCTACTACTTTGAATACCTTCTACAAGTCGAGAGATAGAGTGAAAACCCTAAAAAAGACATCAAATGATAGAACTTCGATAACTATTATAATGCATTATAGGAATGATAAATGGGTTTTTAAACATGTAGGTGATTACTACAAACAATGTTGAGGAGAGAGAGAAATAGTGTGAGATCACATATAGATTGGAGAAGGGAACGAAACATTACTTATAAGTATGTGAAAACTTCTTCCTAGTAGACGTGTTTTAAAACTGTGAGGCTAGCGATAATACGTAACGGGTTAAAACAGACAATATTAGCTAGCAGTGGACTTGAGCTCTTACGAACAGATTGCGATCTTCGTTCTTGGAAAAGGAGAGAGAGGTTCATTCCACTTACTTCAATTATTTGTAATGATCATACACAATGGGCATCCCTAATTTCTTGACACTTCCATAGATTTTCTTTTGCTTTTGTTTTTTCTTGTCTTGATGGGTAAATAAATATGAGAGGGATAGAGGACCCAATCTTTCATTCATATATATATATATATAGATCAATTATTGATGTATATACTTCC